TCAGGAGTTCCATTTTTTTCGTATATTTTGCAGGGCTATATAGGAACGCATGACCATGAGACCTAGCGAGATTTCTGAGTCCCTGTGATCTCTTTTAGAATTTGTATTTTTTGGGTTAATGACGTCTCATCTTGGACGGTTGAATAAGGAAAGCTTGTTTTTACATTATTTATATTTTAAAATTCAGGACTGAAAGGGTACAAATAGGAAGTGACTTTCCAGACTCCCTGTAGATAGTGGCTTTGTGAATAAAGTTAGTTAATTTGCTGATGACGCGAAAATAGGTTTCTCCGTCACGGGGAAGAGGGCGAGAGTCGACAGGGAAATTGAACTTTTTAACGAGCGGAGTAACAATGGCTCATGAAGTTTAGCACGAGATTATGTAACTTTCTTCACTTTGGCCATGTTAATGATGAGCCCCTGAATGCGTCTGGCGAGAGTAGGCTTAGGGAGTCGGACGGGGAAGAGAGATTTAGGGGTCATCAATCATGAATGGAGGACTGAAAATTCTTCCAGCTCACGCGCGAGATCCGAGTCTAAGACCCTAATGCTGGAACCTCCTTTAGTTAACGGGCCTTTCTTTCTCCATGGACTTCCATGAAGAAAGAGCTCTTCCGTTTTAAGGCTCTTTTATCTCGCCCGAATGAGGTTTCAGCATTCCTGCCCTAACGTACCAGTAATAGGATTTTAGACTTCATTCGTCATACTATTAGCAATTACTGCTCGTGCGTTATTCTTCCTTTTATCGGTAAGATCCCATTTCGAGCATTCGTTCGATTTCGGAGGAGGGCTGCTGATATGATGGAGGTAAGAGGACGAGAACACAAAGTGGCGTTTGAACGAGCTGAATATGATTCGTTGGAGAGAGTCAACGAGGAATGACCTCATACGAGCATGCACACATCATTAAGGGGATCGATATCGTGGATCGTGGTAAGTTATTTTTTTTTCCAAATCGATTAGAGCTGGACGTGGGGAAAGCATTTTCAAGTTGCGTAATCCTAAAATGAGACTCACGTTGAGGAAAACCTTTTTTTTTGTCCTAACGAATCGGGCAGAAATAGAAAGGTGGAATCTGACACTGACATGATGTTGAGTTCAGGAAAAATTCAACTTTTGTGGTGCATCCCCTCAGGGCACAGCTTTTGGGTGGGTCGTCTTTCCAAATATATTTTTGTACCAGCGAAAAGGGCAAACGTATAAGGCTGAAACTTGGTGGGCACGGAGTTCCCTGAGTCTCGATTTCAGGAAAAATATCATTTTTTAGGTAAAACCCCTCAGGGTACTTTTTTTTCAGTCGCATTATCCAGAATCTTCTTCGATCCAACGAAACTGAGAGACAGAAAATTGAAACTTCGCTCAGAAGTAACTGCTTGATAGCTGAGTGCAGGAAAATCATACTTTTGAAATACCCCTGTATATCCTCTTCAGCGCAGATGATAGAAGGGAAGTATCTATATATGTTTTCTCCGCTCTGACAAAAAGGGGCACATAGAGATTTAAAGCTCTAGAAATCATCGGAGTAATGATTTCGATAAATATCTCGGTTCCGTCCCCATACGGCACATATTTCAACGCGGACGTACCTTAAATGAGTTTTTGCCATTTCGCAAATGAAGTAATGAATTAATAAATATCCTAGATAATGGAACGCCGAAGGCGCGATCAATTAGTTAATATATATTAGTTAAGCTAGTTAATATATGTGAAAGCTACTTATATCTACAGCTGGAAATGAGTTTGCAACATGTAGCTAACACATGTGACTTTCATAAAGATAAATATTGCAACAACTTATATATTACGAACCAAATATTTTGTTAAAATGAAAAATGCTGAATTCCCATCTGAGGATTATGAACCGTAATGGATTAAATGAGCGTTGGATCTCGACCCTCGACTCGAAATGTACATTTAGGCAAATATACCTATGTTCATTCCAATTCAGCATCATCCTCGACCATGAAGCTCGATTGCGTTGCAATTTAAACACTTGTTGGTCTGTAGACTTGCGGCTGTTCATGTGCAGGTAGCTAAAATTTCCATCGTTCACGAATGACACGAAATATCCTGGCATTTTAGTGAATATTTTGAGAGTGTAAGTGGCACATCGGTAAGATAAAACTTCGTGACTTGGTCGCCAATATGAAACGTGATTCGATCAGAGCCCCACCGGGAACCTAATCCGATTTTCTGCTCAAATTTATTTCCGGGTCTAAAGATCGCATGTGGCCATATTGTCTGGATCCGGTATGAGAGAGTAATAAGGAGGAATGGGAGAAGGCTGGTTAGTTAGGAATGGGGGCAAAAGAGGAGATATAATCTCGGGGGAGAAACAAGAATAAGACGTCATCTCCCGGCCGAAAATCCAATTAGAAAGGATTCGGCTCCCGTTTCTCAGAGCTAACGCAAATCTCCGCCCACTCCTTCAGACGAGCTTTCTTTCCCCCCCCCCCCCCCCCCCCCCCCCCCCCCCCACCCCCCCCNTAGTGCTCTCGCTTTCTTTTCTTCCCCCCCCCCCCCCCCCCCCCGAAACAAAAATAAGCCCAAACGGAGAAGAATTACATAGGTACAACTAGGCGTACGTGAGAGCAGGGGAATTGTCTCGGAAACACCCCTTGTCGGGCGAAGCTCGTTCATTCGACACTCTTCTATTTTATTATTTCATGAGTCTCCAGCCCATGCAATGGGTTTCCCGGGAAGGTGGTCATTACAAGCAGAAAGGTCGATAAATAATACGTTCCATTACGGTCTATCTTTATCCGAGTGCTCTTAAGCCCCTTCAACTTCCTGTCAACATTGTACGAAGATTTTCATCTTGGTTACCTGATACGATCTTTCCTGATAAGATCTTTATTCGGATCCTGGACTCGACTCGGGCGAAAATCTCCCTTAATCCCCATTAAATGGGAGGAGGACAAGAGAGTGGGGGAGAGGGAGAGAGAGGGAGAAACAGAGGGAAGAGAGAGGAAGAGAAGGGGAGAGAGTGGAAGGGGAGGGGAGAGAGACCTCTGAAGCTTCACGAAGGGATCTCCAGGGTCTCTCCCATTGAGGTAGAACCCCTTTTGCTTCTCTGCAATGCATTGCACTGTTGACTCTCTCCCAATGGAAATACATAATTCCATTGTTCTGTCAAATATTTGATCTCCTCCTCCTCCTACCTCCCCTAGGGTCACGTCATCGTCCCTTTCCTCGAGGATGAGACTCTCAGTAGTGTACACGCAATTTCTATGAGATTTGATCCACAAGAAAGGCATCGGCCGAGTCTCTATTACGAGTTTCATGACGGACACGTGATGATAGAGGAATTACAGAACCATGGCTACGAAGTCGGAGATGACTGGAATCGTCACCTGGTCCCAAAGGCATACGTAGAGGAATAGAGAGGGAACGAAAACTTATTTTCGTGGGATCCCGAGAAGGATTTCGAAGAAAATTCCATTTCATTCATTATTCCCTTTGGGTTCCTTGCGAGTACAAAGCTGCTGAAAAATAGGACTTTTCGATAATCCCAGCTACATTTTCTTCCTAATAGATTCCATTAATATCGATCCCTTGCCGATATGGCTTCCTATTTCTCATCTGGCTGTGATTGTGCCAAACCTTATGCAAGAGCTTGAGAAGTGGCGTTCTCAGACGATCTAACATTTGGGACTGCTGAAGGGCTGCGAAAAACTGCTTGCATCTAATGTATTCCACACTGAACCATAGAAATAAGACGCTTCTGTGGTTTGCATACAAGAGAGCTTAATTCTAAGCGTTTTGCATCATTTTGGTGAGCTTTCGGCTTCGTCGATTGAGTCGCTTTGGCGATCATGATAGCTACATGCTATGAATACGATGACGGCCAGAAAGTCACGTTTGATCGCATTCAATCTTTACCTGACGCTGTCGATGTGCTTAGTTTAGGCCGAAACGGATTTTTGAGCTGCTCGAGTTGAGAACGATGAACTCGAACGCCATCCTTTCGTCAATATATACGTAAGAAGTCGCTTTCTTCGGCTAGTAAACTGCAGTTTGATTGGCAAATTCAATCTATATGAAGCCCCACCTCAGATCCTTCATCGAGAGGCCACCGTGCTCATCTGGCTTCGAACTCAGGATGACAGCCTGTGTCAAAGTTCTTAACAGACTCGGATGGATTGGTGAAGGACGAGTCCGTCTGAATTTAAGAACTCTTAGCTAGGTCAGAAGGCTGAAGAAAAAACACCCCGGCAATTCCTATTACATTTCCCAAAGAGTAAATACCAGCCTTCGATCCATTACGTGATAAATTTCTCTAGAAATGCAAATGACAAAAAAGATACACTAATCAGCCCCTAAGAACAGCCTGATATACAAGAAAGTATTTCGATTGTATAAAACAAAATTCTTGTGAATTCAAAATTTAATTATGGCATGGTGTGAGAGGTCATAGGTGCTTCTATGTGCAGTAGAAGAGGGCTAGAGTGGCTCTCAATAATAGGAGGCAATGAGCCGAAGAGTCCCGGTTCTGCCCAGAGCTCATCTATCAAGAGACTATTTCTTGGTATAGAGCCAACCCTCTGTAGCCCTCTTCTTTCTTCCGAAGAACATGCCATTCACAGGGAAAAAAGTCTGGGCAACTATGTCATCCGTCGGAAACCTCCCATGCATGACGTAAATCTTGGCATTATGCATTAGTGTATTGTTCCGAAAGTTCTCGGAGTTTCACTTCGATTACTCTGCCACGTAATCATCCTGAGTGAAAATGTCGCATTTCTCAACGCAGTCAGCAAAAAATTTAATGTATTCGTGATAATGAAGCAGTATGGTCACCCATCTGACTGAAGCCTTTGGTATTCTCAGATGGTCACGGAGAATGCATTTTATTTTCCTTTACGCCAGGAACCAACATTCGAGTCAGCTTAAGTGCGGTGACCTGCTGATCCTTCCTTGCAAGGAATTCAACACAGCCAATGTTTTTGTAGGGGAGACTGAGATGCTGGGTGAGGCCATCTCAAAGAGCGCTTCTCCCAGATTTAAGCTGATGAATCCATGAACATAACAGCACATGCCTTCTTCGCATCTGCTCCAGAGCAAATCTCCAGACACCTGATGACGTCTGCAAGTTTTGCGTCTCCTTTCCTCAAAAAGAAAAGTTTTATCCCTCTGAGACTCCAGATTCATTTCTCATGCTAATTCTGGCCATTTCTTCTATCGTATGGCACGAGTGGCTTGCAAGATCTTTAAAAGTCAATGTCGATGTTGGTGAGCCAGGTAGAGGCTTCCGGAAGAACATTATGTATGCCTGTATCACAGACATTCAGGCCACAAACGAACAGGACTGATTTTACTGGTTAAGAACGCTTCCATGAGTGGTTCTTTAGTTTCTTCCCACTAAGACACATGCGCATGATCTTCAGAAGCCAGTGATTGCGAGAAAACCAATCAGCTTTGAAAATAGCTCTCGTATTTCATGAAGATGGAAAACGGAAGAGGTATAATACCCTCTTACTAAGGATGCCCTTTCATATGATCATCAAAATAATAGGATACTTACCGGTGACGTTGAGAGTAACGGAAGAGCTGATTTTGGGTTCAGTGTTTACTTGGCATTCGTAGACTCCAGAGTCACTTTCGATGGCGTCACGGATCTTCAGGTTCCAAGTTTCGGTTCCATTCTTATGAAGAACTTGGATTCTATCGTCTTGCGTGTACTTGTTAAGACCGCTACTCAACACGTGCAAGTCCTTCTGTCGAATCCAAGATACCTATAATAGAGAAAAATTCAGGTTCATATAGCATTTCGTGAGACTCATTTAAATCCACTGTAACACCCCCAATAGGACGGTAATGGAGCTCTACTTCGCCGATAGGGATTAAGGAGACCAACAGGACAAATGGGAAGTGCATGGAAAAGGTGCAGCAGACCTGGAATCCACTATTCATGAGCTACGTCTCAACAACGTTCCTCCTTTGTTTATGCTCCCTCGGGGAATCTACAAAGCTTCGCAAGTCATGCATCCTCTTCTGTTTTATTCTGTCTGTCAGACTACATGAGGAAACTCTCATGTTCTGGTGTTACGTTCATAATGAAAACTAAGAACTGTGAAGACGTGCCACAGCTTGCCATTTCTTTGGCAAAAGAAACAATCCCTCGAGGCGATCGAGAGGAGGGAGAGGAAAATTCGCGAGAATAAAGGGATGTCAAATTGGCAAAGAAATTGGATGAGACAGAGAAAGGAAATGAGAACGACATTCTATAAAGCTCTTTCTCCCTCTTCTCGCCCGACAAGACGCGACAGTCGGATATCCTTGGAGTGTTCCGGGGGAAAAACGGCTTCCTCCATCCCATTGTGACACCTGAGGCTGTCACATCCGAGTCTAAGATCCTCTTTCGAACGGAGGGAACCCAATTCTCTGCACGAAATAGGCTCAATCGGGACAGATTACAATCGAGCGATGTTTGCAATACTCTGGCAAAAATTGGTTGGCCGTTAAACTACTCTTGTGACGTATATTTGTAATGAAATGTAGTAATTTGGGATCAATAATATTGAAAGAATAAATGGCATATCCCTACAATGCTATCATTCATTACAATTAGTATTACTGCAACAAGGAATGGGATTTCAGCCGAATTCCTTTTGCAATAGCGCGCATGAGTGATATACGATAGTATGAAACGCTTTAAGATTGCTTTTCATTGTATTTCAACAACTATGAATTGCAATTTATTTTATATTTTTATATTTAAGGCATCACCCTTTATGCAGTTATTCCCCCTTCGTTTCGTGGGAATAAGGAGCAACAACGCTTGCATGTCTAGAAATCGAGGCATGCCAAGTGGGCCGAAGGAGGGGATGAGAGCTACCTCTCTAAATGTTCACTGCGTCATTGCAGTACGATTTATCGGTACAGTTCCGTGCATTTGGCAGAAGAGGCTGAGAGAATCGATGGCAATTGCCAGTATCAGATCGTTGGAGTGTATTGATTGACAGGCGCGTGACTAACAATGCGGGGAAAGGCCAATAATCCAATATCTTCCATTAGTATATAGAAGAGACAGCTTTGAAATTCATAATAGCACAGCAGCCTTTCATATCGCACCCTTCCTTCTCTCATAGAAAGAATCGAAAGATGTGGGATCATATTTCATCTAGACGCATGCTTGCCTCTCATTGAATTCTGCAATATTGAGAAGGGAGCACTCGATTACTTCCTGAACTCTTAGCGTACAGATTCAGGTAAGATGTTCTATAAAGAAAAAAGTACTTGGTAAGGAAGGCAGGGGCCGGTCGGGCGACAAAGGGTAGCATTGAGTATTTATGGCACGAAAATTGGCATTGGAGGAGGAAACGGATGGGAAGGAAGAATATCATGGAGTAACACTTGGCTCCCTTCCAGAGTTTCCGGCCGAGTTATCAGGAAACCACATTATCCTATATGCAACATAACGGAGAAGGGAATAGGGAGGGGAAAGGCCCTTTTACGGACGACAGTCGTAAGTATGTTTCTCCTTTTTCTGCCTTATATACGAGACCGAAAATGCGAATAGAGCCTGAAGTTCGTCTTATCAGTTCAGGCTCAGGCTATGCGGAGACGAAACAATAAATGGTGTTTTGGAGTGGAAAAGCTCTCTGGGAAAGCAATGAAATGCACGAGACAGCAGGGAAAAAGGAATGAATCGATGCAATATCGGAACCAGATCCCAGCATGCTGTGCCTCACTGGACAAACCTGGAAAACCTGGAAAATCGTTCACGGCCACCCTGCAATGCTGTGCCTCGTCAAACTTCGTTCGAAGGCACTTCGCCAACATTTATTTCAATTTTTTACTTGATAGTATTCGTCTCCGGAATGCTCTCTTGTCACATTGCCAATACATCTCATTCATTCATCCATCCATCACCTCTAAAGATAGATTTTCCACAGGAATCACTCTCTCATCTTGACATTTCTCAGAGTCAGCCTGTAGAGACGAGGAAAACTTTCTGCATTAGTGAAAAATCTCTCAATCGAGATAACATTACTGAAGTCTCATCATCGCAAATGGGAAAGTGCTCCTACAAGGATTTTCCTTGCCTCATTCAGAGACTACCATTACTAGTTTTGAAGCCTACGTTTACTTTATTTCCACCATGAGTGAAGAATATGAAGTATTCCACATCTACGGGACCAATCTGAATCATGTTTACAGTGGATGTTGCCAAATTGCATGCAGCACATTCTCATTTCCTCAGCATGCTCTCTGAGATACCATGTCGCGTCGTTGAAAGAGACGAAGGGGTTTTAATAAAGGAGGCCTCCGTCTCCACATTTTCAGTAAAAATGTTTCATGACGTTGGGGCGCAGCATAAAACCTCTTCACTGCGAAAGCGACTCACTTATTCTTACGTGTATGGTCATGTACGTAAGTGAATCCTCTCCCTTTCACTGTTTTCACTATTTTGGTCATTGTGTCGGACCACGGCCGGCCAAGGGGACGGGAAATAAAGCATCCATTTGTGACTCACGAGCAGAAATCTTGTTCGCTTAGGTCGTCGCTTAGGTCGTCAAAAAAAGTTGTTCATCACTGCAGTGATGAACAACTTTTTTTGACTGCGGGTCGCAAGTGAACCATTTAGGTTCCCGGCGGGCCGCAAGTATTTTTTTTAAATATTGAATTACAAGCTTTATGCCTGCTGAGTACCAAAATAATTCTAAGCCTGGCTTAGTAAACCAGGTACTAAAATAGTAGATGCTAATGATATGCAAATGACTAATTTTTAAATTTTTTCACCTTTATAAAATGGACAAAATACCAAGCAAGCCGTTTGCTCCGAGAGCAAGGATACACTGACAAAGAAGAGAGTAAGGGGATATTTGCAGCTGTGGCGGAAATATGTATAGCATTTATGTTTTATTTCTTGCTTTCGTTTCTCCTGCAGCGAAGTGGCTCTCCAGTGCAGCGGAATCCTTTAGCGCACGTGCGCTCTACTTCGGGTGGCAGATGGCAGAAAAAAAAATTCCGTTGGCAAAGCCTCGCAGGTCGCACACCAGGACCTCGCGGGCCGCAATCGGGCCGCGGGCTGCAGGTTGCTCATCACTGATGTATAGTAATGTTGCTGAGGAGATCGCAATCTGTAATTCCTTTCTGTAATGAAGCTTACACCTCCAGCTGAGAATAGGCCAATCCTTCCAGTAAGAAGAGCTTTGCTTTTGTGCAGCTTAGACGGCAGATCGCAGCGAGACAAGAAACTTCGTCGAGTGGGTTTGAGACAGATAATTTACACTCGACGAACCCCGTTAATTTCCTCTTTCCCCCGCAAAACACAGTTGGGATTATTGACAATGATTTCCAATTTGTATATCTTAATCTGTCCAGCTAGCACGGACTCCAGAAAGTGAATTACCTCTTTTCCTTATGAGAGAACTATATAAACTCCTTACCTGATATAAAGAGAGAAGAGCCTGAAACAGAAACAAATCACAGGGAAAGAGTCAGAGGGAAAAATCCCCCACCCGTGCTGCCAAACATGATCAATGTGGAAGGGTAGAAGTGGTGCGAAGTTACGAAAAAAAATGGTCTTCGAACGAAGCCATTAGGTTCCAGAAGTGTATGAAAAGATAAAGTGCTTTTTCTAGCCGCCCTTCCGCTCCTCCCTTTTAAAGGAGATAATATTAAATTGATACGGTGCCAACGCTGAGATGAGTAATTTGAACCACCTAGACTCGAGCGTCTTCCGTGTACGGCAGGAAATTGCATGCAGATCTCCTTTGTGCTCATCGGTTCGAACAAAGACGACTCTGGAAATGAAATCCGTGGTTAGGGACAGCTAACATATTACAAAATTGCATTTACAAAAGGCACAGAAAAGAGTAGAACCAAGGGGGAAATGCCCACTTGGCCTACATAGGGCGCGCAACATGGTGCTATTTAGGTAATGGGTCTCCCAATTAAGGTCAGTTTGGCCGTTCTATTGAGATTTTTTTATTCCTTTATATTTCTCTCCTTTTTACATCCTTTAAGCAATCCATCATCCTCGGACACAGAAAGCGTGGATCGGCGAGAGGTCTAGCACGAGTGAATGAATGAATGCAATAGAAAGCAGGGGAGGAGGTAATAGTGATATACCTGGAAGACAGGGCCGTGTTTATGCTCTAGAGAGTCTAGAAGGTTTTATCGATGGAACTGTCAAAGTCTCATCCCTTGATCCAATTTCTCACGTCATCATTTTTTCACTGTGGACTGCATCGACCGGCCGTTAAGAGAAAATATGCAAACGTGGGAAGGACGCAGAATTTATCTCTACTCAACGCCGTCAACATGGGGAATACCAATCGCGACAGAGTCATTTGCAGGCTGAAAACTAGAGGGTGAGGCAAAAATACTGGGCCGCTCTTTGAAAATTTATGGCGCCCTTGAAACAGCAACTAGCAAAGCAAAGCTTCTTTCATACATACGACTATGAATCCTTCGAGCATCCTAAAAATGTCGTCCCTTTATCTCTAACTGTTTCACCGCACGAGTGATTTTACAAAAGCAACAGTAATTTTTTTTTGCGCTGGCATCTGGACGCCGACGGGAAGACCTCACACCACTGAATAGGAATGACGATTCTTTTCAAGGCCTTTTTTTCCCTCTGCACTTCGAGTCTGCTTAGTGGATCTCCGACTCGCCAAGACGTCTGGCAAATTTGCCGATGGGAATTTTGCATCCCTGGATTGTCATCTTGAGAATCCATGACTTATCAATAAATAAATACATAAACGCAGTTTCCTTCGGTTTCAGCTAGTTTTAGTCTTCCGCTTCCTCTCAGATGAAGCAATTCCTCGCAGTTTTTGAATCAATCTCTTTAACGATAGACCTACATTTCTTTCATCCCCTGCAGTAAAACTCTTGCAAAATGTCCTACCCCATCCTTTCGCAAAGAGTAGCATTTTCATTGGCAGACGGAGGAACTTCGGCCCGAGATTGGTGCGCTCAGTGACCACTCTCTCGCCGATTCGTTTCCTCGCGCAAATATAAATTTCGAGTTGCCTTTGCGTTATCGTTCATGTGCTGGAGAAAAAGGAACAATCATTTTAGAACTTTTCTTGGATACATAGA